CCCCCCCCCCCCCCCCCCCCAACTACTCAAAGGTGTGCAGATTGAATTGAACAACAAATGAACAAATGTGTGTTTAAATCTGCTAATAGCTAGTTAGCCGGTGGGCAGCACAGTCCTGCCTGGCTCAATAAAAGCGCTTACGTTAACGGAGATATTATGATGAGTGCATGCTCTATTCAGAAAAAAATGAGTATTGGGTGAATAATAGTTTCATCTAGCTGTATGAAATTTGGGAGGAATGTGGATCGTGATGGGACGTACAAAAAAAATCCTCTTGGAGTTTTTATCTAAACCAAACAGGAAGTCGGCCATTTAGAATTTTATGATGTTTTTGGACCATTTCAAGGGGCCGTACTTTAACGAACTCCTCCCAGAGATTTGAACCGATTGACTTCAGATCTAGTCAGTATGCTCTTGAGACCTTGGCAGTGAAAAGTTACTCAAAGATCAAAACGTTATCGAACTATGTGTCCGTGGCGTGGCGTCAAAAAAACACCATTCGCCGCGAAACAGGAAGTTGTTGTAACTCGGCCGTACATTGTCGAATCTGCTCCAAATCTCTCATATGTCATAACATCCTGACCCGGAACACATCTATATGATAATTTAGAATCATAGTAATAGCGCCACCTAGTGGCAACTGGAATTTGTAAGTTGTGTACTTTGACATCCTGCTCCTCACAGATTAATCAGATCCCTCTAAAATGTTGTCAGAACAGCCTTAAGACCTTGATAATGCTTCATTGTGAAAATTGTAAGAAGTTGTTGAAGGGCGGCGACGTGGCGGCTCGGCGAATTTCGATCCTTCGCCATGAACGAATAAACTGATGTAACTCAACTCCACATCATCAGATCTTTACCAGATTGCACATGTTTTATTAGACTCCAGGCCTGAAGACATCTGCAGGCCAATTTTGAATCATAGTCATAGCGCCACCTACTGGTAACAGGAAGTTAAAGTCATTATACTTTGGCTTGTTTCTCTTAGTAGGTAAATCAGATCAACATCAAATTACTTCCACACAAATGTAAGAAGTTCATAATACCAGTTCATGAAGCTTTTGATGTTTCGTCGAACGCCGTTGCTGTGGCGATGCAGTCTTCGCCGTGAACAACGAAGGTGCTTTTGAGAGGCTAAAAATACTCGAAACGTAAGCAAACTTGGCAAGCAGATTACAAGCCCAGAATTTAGTTATACAATATGATTTTAATGCTTCAGAGTGGCAAATCGGCTCAATAACGCCCCCTACAAAACAGACAAAGCAGCCCTCCCAGTATGTTTGAACTAGATGTATGAAATTAGGTAGCCACATGTATCACATGAAGACTTGGCACCATGCTTTAAACCCAACTGCAAGTCAGCCATTTAGAATTTTGTATGAATTTCTAGTGTCGTTTCTGTCATTTTCAGGCGCTGGACTTTAACGAAGTCCTCCTAGGGACTTTGTCAGATCAACTTCAAATTCGGTCAGAACAATCTAAAGACCTTTGTGATGAAAAGTTACTCAAAGCTTTACGTTTGATGGAACGGCGTAGCCATGGCGTGGCGGCCATTTTACGTAATTCGCCATTAAACAACAAGCTGATGTAACTCCACTGGACTTGCTCAAATCTGTCCCAAACTTGCCATACTTGATAACAGTCATGGCCTGAGGATGTCTACAAGCCAATTTTCACTCAAAGTCATAGCGCCACCTACTGGCAACAGGAAGACAGCGTGATGTGACAAACGGAATCCGATTTACATGACATTTACATGATGTGGTCTATACTTGATGTAGAGCAACATAATGCATGTTTGCGCATGTTCTCTAGCGCCACAAAGTGGATACAGGAACTGGTGGAATATTTGCACTACCTAATTTCCAGCGTCACACAGTCCATGCAGGACAAATACGTTTATTTCCGGGACACGTTGTCTGATGGTCTAAGACATTCCCGGCCGCATCTGCCGGCGTCTCGCCAGTACCCCCGAGACGCTGGAAGGTGCGAGGGCCCGTACATCGCTGCTTGCAGCTTTATTGCTCCTTAGTAAAGCAAACTTACTTTTTATCCGATTACTCAATTAATTGATGTAATAATCAGTAGAATACTCAATAAAATAATTGTTGAGAGTGTTGAATGATCCCCAACTTTGGAGGATTGTGTTTGTTAATGTGTTGCCATCACGCTTTACTTCCCTACCAGTGAGCCGCAGAATAAGTGAGGGTCAAACCTTAAATGACAGCTGGAGAAACCTAAAAGTACATTTAAGATCAACGGTTTAATTAAAGTACTCACCAACAACTAGCTCAATGTAGAAAGTTTGAGGTGTCTGAAGACGTGGAAAAGCACAGCTGTAGTTTCCACTGTCGGCCATCTTGGTATTTCTGATGCTTATGGAGGCGATGCCGTGTTTCAGTTGATCTTCAAAATGTGAGACTCGTTTTTTGAACTGCTCACTCTGACCAGGACGGCCGTTGTTGTAATGAACACCTGCATCATAAAAGAAAACCTCCTTCTGACGTTGACCTTTCTGAGCTACTTTCTTCCAGTCAAAGACAGCTCCTACGATGTCCTGCTTGTTGCTGAGGGAACAAGGTAAGATCACATCACTCCCGCCCTCAACAACCTTTCTGACGACACCTGAAAGACAAAGCATGTTTGAATCATTAGGTTTAAATGGAGAAACTCAGGTTAAGGGAGACACTACAGGTGAACACAGGTAGAATACGTCACTAATAGATATATCACCATGTGTTTAAAGACTGTGTGCTTATCACCGTTATACTTAACATCTCCAGTCATAGGAGAAGATGTTCCTCACTAGCATTTAGTTTGAGTACAGATCAAAGCAATGAGATATGTGACGACCCCTCCCATCCACTAGGGGTCTGTGTCCTGTTTGCTGCCTACTCTGTCTTTCAGGAGGTTGATTGGCAGCTAACGAGCCCCACCTGAGCCTGCTGGAAATGGCAGCTATAAAGATGCACCACCTGAACATGGCGAGGTGCCTCCCCGCCTCCTGTTTGGAGGACCTGGATGCTGCTTTGTTTTGATTGTTTATTTAGTTAGGTTTAGTTAGTGGTACTTTCAATTAATGTCTATTTATTACTTTTATACTCTTCTTGTCTCCCTCATGTTACGACTTTTTGAGCCGGGTCGTGACAGACAGGATAGTTGAGCTTTAGAGGTGCTGATGAGTTCAGTGTGCACAGAGTCAGAGTTTGGAGCCATTATTATACTGAAAAAACTAAAGAAACCTCTCAGCAGATGACAGAAACATCGGGATTCAAACAAACAGTTTGGTACGTTCTTAAAAAGAAGGAATTCACCAACACCAACAGGCCCTGAAGACCACAGAAGACATCTAACGTGGACGATCACAGTGAATAAAAACCTCCTCCTGACATCTACTGAAGTCCAGAACTCTCTGGAGGAGGTAGAGTGTGATTAAAGTCTACGATCAAGAGACGCCTTCATGGATCTAAATACAGAAGGTTTACCACAACATGTAAACCACTGGTGACTCTGAAGAACAGGAAGAGCTGATGACACTTTGACAGAAAACATCTGAAAAAAACCTGAACAGTTTTGGAACCACGTCAGTCACCTGATCTCCACCCAGCTGAGCCTGCTTTTCACGTCCTTAACCTTCTGAACCCCAAAGCAGATTAGAGGTGTTTTTTGTTCCCGTCACATTTCTCACTAGAAGATAATAATATCGTGGCTTTTTTTGGGTGACATCACTTCACACCTGAACAAACTGAACTTAAAGCCGCAGGTCAAAGACAAGTCAGTTAAATTCATTTTTCTAAATTAAAGTGCTTTATTTTAAGACTCACATTTTTCAAAGCTTTCTGTTTTCTATTATATTTTTTAATCCAGCCCTTATTTTACATGCATTTGTTATTAACTTATTCGAGTATGTATTTTCTATAATTCACCCAGTTCAATTTGAAAACTGACAATAAACATTGTTGAGATATTATTTAATTGAACTTTATTTGATTTGACAGTCAGTTGTTGACGACATACAGACGTTGATACAACTGTTCTTACAGTTATACTTCAAGATATTTGGAACAGCTCAAGTTAGAACGAGAGTTAACGGTCGTGTCTGTGGATGAATGTGAGCTGCAGTGTAGAATATCGTTATGATGATAAAGATCAATGTCTGTAGTCTTTAATATCAAACTTAAGCGATGTGAGATAACCTACAGTGTTGTATGTGTGGATCACAGCTGACAGTCATCTGTAAGCGGTGTTTGAGCTCAGTATGTTTTGTTTTTTTTATATATATATATATATATATATAATTTTTTTTTCCTGTTTACGTCGAATAAATATTCTGAAAGGTATACCTTGTGTGTGTGTGTTTGTACACACACAGGCGGGGACGCATAGCGGGGGACACATATCCTCCCTATGCCTCCCCGCTATGCCTCCCCGCTATGCCTCCTCCCTATGCCTCCCCGCTATGCCTCCTCCCTATGCCTCCCCGCTATGCGTCCTCCCTATGCCTCCCCGCTATGCCTCCTCCCTATGCCTCCCCGCTATGTGTCCCCGCTATGTGTCCTCCCAATCTCGTCCACAGCCTCACTAACGAGTAGTGAATTTTCTAGCAAACTGTTTCGTTTATATTCTTTAATAAGAAATCATAGAAACTGTGAAAGAGGAGAAGTGATCGACATGTTTATTTACTGTTTATTCGACGTGGGTCCTGAAAGGTATACCTTGTGTGTGTGTGTGTGTGTACACACACACACACACACACACACACACACACACACACACACACACA